TGTGTCATCTCATTTTTAGGGAAATAACCCTAAGGGATGAAAACCTTGCTCAATATAAGTTCCCTATTGCTTCTGTCAAAGTATAATGCATAGATTCATACTTTCATTAAAGTTATCAGAAAGTATATTCCTTTCATCACAAACTATAAAATTATATAAATTGAGTTACCATGCATAGAAAAATACCTGTAATCACCAATTCTGAGATTTGATTTCTTGAAACCCTAAGCATTTCAAATTTCTCACACACTGACCGCGGGCATAAGCCACTCTTTCTGTTTAACAGGTATTTTAAAAATGACTGTGGCTTACCACAGCCCTCAAAGGGTTTTTTTTCTATTATTATACTGAAGGCTGTCCTCTGGTATGTTAAGACCTACCATTTAAAATGTAATATATTTCTAATCCAGTTACCCTGAAGTGCTTACTTTAAGTTTGCTAGTAATTCTGTTTCAGACAGGATGTATTTCAAGTGAAAAGAAAAAGACAGTAAACGAACTTTCAAGAGTTTCTCTGAAACCATTTTAAGAAGCAATAAAGCTTTATTACATTTTTCCTAAAGACAAAGAATCATTTTTTAGTAAATGCTACAAAGAAAATGTGCATAATTTAAAGAAAACAGTATTTTAGGATATATTTGCTAATAATTGATTGTATTCAGAATTTTTTGGAAAGGAAGCAAAACACCATAAGGAAATTTTATGGGAGTCCTTAGTTTGCCGATTTAGTTGTGGGAGAGAGACAATGAAAATTCATTCCAGTTCAATGTGCTGTTTATTTATTGTAGGAGGAATGATGTTAAGGATGTTGAAACCAGAAAGTTTTTCTACAGCTTTACCTATGTATGCCATGCTTTTCAGTTTTTACTCAATTGTTTTTATAATGAAAATAGTGTATGTTCCATGCTCTCAGTTAACTGATAGAAGTGGTTGATATATAATAGATTAGCTTGGCCATTATTAATGTTTTGTTACTTTAAGCACTTTAACACATTTTATTTACACTGATAGCAATTATTTTGCTTCCAGAATCTTACTACATTTGATATTTACTGAGTTACAATGGAGTATAAAATGTTACATTTGTTAACTATAACCCATGATTACCCCAAATTTTAAATACCAATATAATCAAAGTTATTTCTTTTTGTGGAAATGAAACTTTCCAAGCATACAGTGGCTAGAAGCAGGTTTACATCTATTATGCTGTTCATATTTTCTATATCACTTGGTATTGCCTCCAGACGGTCTTACATGAGAAAATTCCATGCGCCCTTAGAATATTTTTTATACAGAAATCACTGATAGTCAAGATGATTTTCCTCATTTGAGTCCTTGCCATTAAAGGATATGTTAAAGTGCATATTAATAACCATCATTTTTAAATAGAAGACTTCATGACCCTTGATTTCTGTAATACACAGGAGAGCCCTGCTGTCTATCTACTTGTTAGGAAGACAACAGATGGGATTCTTTGCACTGAAAAGAAGGCTTAACTAGGTGACCTTTCCTAGGATTCATCAACAACAAGGAGATCATAAGGTCTTCATATATTATTTTATTTATTCTTCTTCCTCGGAAGTAGAGGAGCAAGCACTTACTGTACACTTAATCTCCTCTCATAGCTAAAGAAAAGAGTTATAACTTCTTCCAAATCACCTAATAATTCCCTGTAGAATCTGGATCCTAAATCTTGGTTTCTGCACTTTCTCTTCTTACAGAATAACCATAGTAGCTTATAATCAGCTTTCTAAACACTTAGAGTTTCTTTTCCTTAGTAATAGTACTAGTTATATAATATTCTGACAGAGGGATGAAGCTGAGCTAATCTGACTTTAGATGAATCATCAAAGCAAGCCAATGGAAAAATATAAAAACTAAATTTTAATCTTCAACTTAAAATCTGCTTGGTTAACCATGCAAGTAAAGGATTTAACACATTTATTTAGGATCACTGGTGTAAATCCTCATGACAGTTAACACCATATATTCTTTTGGTAAGACAACATTACATTTTGAAGTTCCTTGCCACAAATGTAAAATTGAAATATGTAAAAATAGGTTTCTTAGATCAAAGGAGTGATGGGGCATCAAAACACATTGCAAGATAATGGCTCAATGTCATTTTGGCATCATTTTATAAACTATTTGAAACCTATAAGTTCTCTGTAATTTAATGCTTTATCTTTCAAAACTTAACCATCTTAACAACAAAGGAGCAGGGCTATTTTCTTATAAGTAGAACTTTACTTGTTAGGAATTAGTTGTTTTTCTCTCCCAAGAGATATGCCTAGAACAGGGTTTAGTACACAGTCAGGACCCAATAAATATTTGCTAGAGGGATAATAAAAGATACATGAGTCTCAAGTTCTGGAGAGAAGTCTGGAATGCAAAGTAGATTTGAGGGTCACAGCTAAAAAGAAGAATTCATGACAAATGGAAGAAGAGTGTGTTGGCTGAGAAGTACTCAAGAATGCATATAGATAAGAGATATGAACTTGGAAGGAGGATATATCATGTCATCTATAAGTAGAGTTCAACAAGGCAATTAGTACAAAAGAAATATATAAAAATCAATGACTCTCAGACATAAAATTACTTTGAAAATGTGAAATAAGAGATGTCATTGATAATAGCATACATATATACATAAGTAGAAATAAATTTCATAAAAATATTCAAGATTTACTGGAAAAAACTACAAATCTCCACAATAAGATACAAAGAAGATCTGAGTAATGGAGAACTAACCTCAAATTAGATGATAAACTTTGAAGTCAAGATTTCAATTGCCCATTACACATCTATTAGAACAGCCAAAATCCAAAACATTGACACCACCAATGCTGGCAAGAATGTGGAGTAACAGGAAGTCTCATTCATTGCTGGTAGGAATGCAAAATGGCACAGCTACTTTGGAAGACAGCTTGGCAGTTTCTTACAAAGTTAAACATACTCAACCATTCAATACAGCAATTGTCCTCAAATGAATGAATTGAAAACTTATATCCACACAAAAACCCACACACAGATGTTTATAACAGCTTTATTAATAATTGCAAAGGCTAGCAAGCAACCGAGATGTCCTTTATTAGGTTAATAGATAAATAAATGGTGGTACACCCAGACGATGGAGGAAATTTAAATGCATATTACCAAGTGAAAGAAGTCAGTTTGAAAAGATTTCACAATGTCTGATTCCAACTATATGATATTCTGGAAAAGGCAAAACTGTGGAGACAGGAAAAAGATCAGCAGTTGTCAGGGGTTAGAGGGCAGGGAGAAATGAATAGGCAGAGCACAGAGAATTTTTAGGGCCATGAAACTGTTTCATGTGACAATACAATGCCAGATACATGTCATTATACATTTGTCCAAATCCACAGAATGTACAGCATCAAGAGTGAGCCCTAACATAACATAAACAATGAACACCTGGTGATAATGATGTGTCAGTGTAGGTTAGTAGATTGTAAGAAATGTACCACTATGGTGCTGGCTGTTGATAATGGAGGAAGCTGCACATGTATAGGGCAGGGGATATATGGGAAATCTCTGTACCTTCTGTTCAGTTTTGCTGTGAACCTAAAACTACTCTAAAAAATGAGCTCTATGTAAAAAAAAAAAAGAGCCTTAACAAGGAACTTGAATAAGAGATTATAATATTTATCTTCTATAATAAACATAGAGGAATTTCCAGGAAAATTCTGAAATGGAAAAGTTCTGGGAGTGAAGAATTGAGCAGGGAAACGGGCCCTACAAAATATCAAAGTATGATATAAACCTACATTGCATAAAACCATATGGCGTTGGAATAGGGAGAGGTAGCTGGAACTCTGGGCTAGAACAGAATGTCTAGAGAAAGATTCAAGTGTATATAAGAATGTATCATATGATTAAAAGAGACATTTCAAATAACTGGGTCAAAACAGTTTATCATTTAGACACTGGGGTGATGGGATAGTCAGCTGGTAAAAAAAAAAAAAACAACCAAACAACTGAAAGCTCATTCCTACTGATTAAACCAATTGTAAATGGAGCAAAGATTTTTTATACAGTGTGACTAAATAGACATAACCTATACTTAGCATTTTAAGATATACAATTCACTGTGTTGTATAATCACAGCCAGAACCTTTTCATCACCCCGAAGAGAAACTCCGTTACCATTAAGCAGTCCCTCCCCTCCCAGCAGCCCCTGGTAATCACTTAATCTGCTTTCTGTCTGTATGGATTTACCTACTCTATATATGCCATATAAATGGAATCACATAATATATGCCCTATATATATTTGTATATACACTATACAAATATATAAATGTATGTGTATATACATAAGGGAAGAGGAAAAGATAGCTGTTTTTTTACTGAATAGTGCACAGTACTCTTTGTATTGTTATAACAGACACTCATTACTTTTATGTTTTGTATACCCTTCTTTCATTTAGCATAACATTTTTAATGTTCATCCATGTTACAGTATGTGTCGGTACCTCATTCCTTTTTGTGACTGAATAATATTATTTTGTATGAAGAGACCACATTTATCTTGTTGATCATCAGTTAATGAATCAAAGATTTTCCAAAATGGACTATTACAAGAACTAGAAAAAAACATACCTGAATATTTTTATAATCTAGGAGTAGATAAGGTCTTTGAGGCATGAAATTTACATCTGTGAAATATAACATTTAAATAAGGCACATTCTATGAAAAGGGGGAAGGAAGTTATATTCTTCAAAAATATTAATGTCATAAAAACAAAAGCTGTAGAGAAGCTCTAGATTACAAAAGTCTAAAGAAACATGACAATTAAATATGATTTTGTGACCTTGGGCTGGAATCTGTGCTGGAGAGGAAAAAGTGCTATAAAGAACATTATTGGACCAATTGACAATATTGGAATACAGACCAGGTACAGTGGCTCATGCCTGTAATCCCAGCCCTTTGGGAGGCCAAGGCTGGAGGATCTCTTGAGTCCAGGAGTTCAAGACTAGCTAGGCAACATAGCGAGACCTAGTCTTTACAAAATTAAAAAAAAAAAAATTGGAATACAAATGGTAAAGTATTGCACGAAGATAAAATTTACTGAAGCATGTAACCATTGTGTTCATATAAGAGAACATCCCTATTCCTAAGAAAATATGCATTCAAGAATCTAAGGGCTAGAGGCAACTTACCCTCAAGTAAAATTTATATGTATATTATATAACATACAGAAAGAGAAAAGGAGTGCTGCTAAGAGTTGTGCTGGATGCTTTACGAATTTTATCAGATTTGATCCTCGCAACAATCCTCTAAAGATTTATAAATGAAGAAGCTGAAATAAAGTGACTATAAGTACCTTCCCCAAAGTCACAGTTGATTATCTGACTCTATATTCCATGCTGCTTTTCCTATAATGCCACATTGCATCTCAATAAAATATAGAAATAAAATATTTTAATAAAATACATATCTTATAAGAAAATTTAATTCTAACACTAAGAAATATAGTATATTCAGATAAATACTATTTAATTTTAACCGTAATATACATGGAAAACTAATCTTTATTATGCACTTCTTCCATGGCTGCCCATGTTTCTGATTGAATTTCACCACAACTCTTTCCAGTAATCTGCCCTGCAGGCCAATGTATCAAATAAAGATCTAAAAGCAACATAAAATCACTTTTGCATCAGGAAACGGCTCTCAATTGGGGAGAAAAAAAGAATTATCCTGCGTTGCATGCATATGCAAAGATTACATATTTGCACTCCTCATTCTTCCATAAGAGCTAATTCAAGTTTCATTACTTTATTGTCAAGCTTCTGAACATTTACATAAATGATAGGTTTGTTATCACTTATTGCTGGATTCAGCAGATTATATGCAAAATGTGCAATGACATGATTAAAAAATCTTTGATCTTTTAATCAAAGGAGTAAGCAGTACTAATTTATTTGGCAAGTATAATATATATACCTATTGTAACACTACTGTGCATTTGAGATTACCATAGTACAATAATTACTCTTCATTAAGGAAGGCTCCTTGCTATGTAATTCCACTGTGGCTGTGGGCAATAAAATCCTTTCTAGAGAATTGAATTAAATTTGGTGTGAAGTTATTTTGTAAAATAATCATATTCTTTATAAATAAAATAAAATTTACCATCATGGTGTTTGATTCTATAAAGGTTATAGACAGAAGTATCATTGAGAACTATATAATATAAAAAAAGAATAACCTTTACATGAAATAACATGTAAGCTTCAAATTCAAAGCCCACCATATTTCTGTTAGTACTGATTTTGTGATGTCAAAAAAAACCCTCTCAAACCATTTTCTTGTCCCAATCTATAATGAAGACAGATACATATATAAATAATTATAACACAATGCAGGATGCATATTAATGTTGTAACACAAGAGGTGACATGCGTATCATTCCTAGAAGGATCCTGAAGACTTTATGGAAAAGGTATCATCTTAATTAACCTTTGACAAATGGGCAAGAAATCAGGAAGTAGAGGAGGAATGGAGAGGGCACAATAGGATATAAAAAGCATAGAGTCCCGACTGCCAGTCTAAATGGTGAATTTTTATTCTGCAATAAATAGGTAGCTATAGGATTCTGAGCAAAAAAACCAATTTGACCACATGAAGAATACTCTGAGGGAAGCTAGGCATAGATGCACATGCCTGTAATCCCAGCTACTCAAAAGACTGAGGCAAGAAGATCATGCAAGCCCAGGAGTTTAGGACCAGATTGGCCAACATGGTAAGACCCTTGTCTAAGGGTGTTGTGAAGGAGACATAAGATTAGAAGAAAACTATGGGATGGAAAATCAGTGAAGTTATTTCAATGATAATTGTCTATCTGTCCCCTCAGTGAATTATCATGGGCTTCTTCAGGCCAGGCAACATGTTTCCACAACTTTGCCTCCCCCAAACCACACATATTTGACAAATACCACTGGATGCACGAATAAAAGAGAACAAACTCTTGTGTTATGCTAATAGTGATGGAGATGAAAACAAATAAAAAAGAAATATATAACATAAACTATTGAGGATGTAGCGTTGTAAAGAGATGTTAACTGGCTGGTTATAGCTGCTGAGGAAAATGAAGGAATAAAAACGCTATGCAATTTATCACAATAAAAATTTAAGGAGCACTTACTTTGTGCCAGAAGTGTGGTAGGTGCTAAATATACAAAGGTGAATTAATATCTGATCCTCACTATCAAAGAGCTAGAGGCGACACTTAAGATATATAATAACACAGATATGTAAAATGATATGCAATAATACTGCATATATAGGCAATAGCATGCATACAATGTTCACAAAAAGTAAAGAGATAAGTATTTTATTTTCTCTGGGAAGAGTGAGGGAAGACTTCATTGAAGAAGGAATGGTTGTGTAGGACTTTGAAAAATAAAGAGGAATTTTCCAGATAAGGAGGTACAGGGGCCATCTCACACAGAGAAATTAATATTTGTAAGTATGTAGAGATCTCAAAAAATTTTGTGTGTGTGCCTGTGTGTGTAAGCATTTTGATATTGCAAAAGCATAAAATGCAAGAGAGAACTGGAAACTAATGGGAAATGAAATTGGAGAGCTGAGTAGGGGATAAAAAGTCCTTGTGTTGCAAGCTAAAGAGCATGAATTTTCTTCTGTGGGTGAATGGGAGTCAGTGAAGGTTTTAAAACTGCCTGGCAGCTGGCAAATTTGCCCTTCAGGGCAGATGAGAAACACATTGATGAAAGCTTGGTGAATGGATCGGGGGTCGGGAATGAAAGGAGAATGGTAAAGAGACTACTGCAACAGGTCAGATGAATAATAACGAAATCCCAATTTAAGGCAGTAATAATAGAGTAGATAGAACAAAATCAAGAGATATTAAGGTGACAAAATTGGACACACTTGGGGACATGGAATGTGAAACAGCTGATTCCCAGATTTTTGGCCTGAACTACTAGGATGAGAATGGTGCTACCAAACGAAGGCTTGCTTTGGGAAATGCAGAGCCTGAAGCATCTGTGGCACATCCAAGGGACATTGCTAATACAGAAATTCATGCTCATGACTTAGGGGAAATTTTAGTGCTCATTTTCAAGTTACATACATCAAAGGATAGTGTTATTATTAACTAAAATATGTAATACAGCTGAGAGATGTGCAACAGTTTATTATGAAAATTATAACCTGCAGTTTTGTTTGTTGAGCTTGATTAGCTAGTGGAATAAACATGTGGAGATGTTCATAAAGAATTTAGAAGTATGGTATCATGCAGTCTTTCAAAGAATTAGATGGTTTCATATGCATTGATTAGGAAAGATAGTCATGATTTTCTCTAAAGGAAAAATATAAGCTGTAGAACAGTATTTAGTATGATCCAACTTTTGTATCAAATATACATGGAAACATATGTATGAATACATGATATACATATATGTAAATATAAATATATAAATGTATGTGTGTATACATATGGGAGGAAGGAAAGATAGCTAATTTTTTACTGGATAGTTTACTGTACTCTTTGTATTGTTACAACAGACATTCATTACATTGGAGTTTTTAAGTTCATTTTAGCATTTGAAAAAAAAAAAAGCTGTGCAAGAAAATAAGATTATCAAGTGAGAGAGGAAAGAAAAGGGCCAAAGACACTCAGCACAAATCTAAGAGTTGGAGTGGAAATACAGGACTGAAAGGTATTTGTGAGTTAACAACAGTCAGATGGTGTTGAATACTTTAAAAAGACTGATAAAATGATGACCTGAAAGTGGCTGATGAGACGGGAAGATGGGCAAGATGTGATTAAGCAGTTTGTTGAGAGCAGGGCCAGATTGCATTTGCTAAAGCACGAGATTAAAATGAGGGCATAGAAGCAGCAGTGCAGTTAGTTACCAAGGAAAATGTCTGAGGCAAAGGGAAACAGAGCACACTTGTAATCTAAGTCTGGAGAGCCGGTGTTCTGATAAGGGTTGAAAATACAGAAGGAAAAGGGTGTAACTGTGCTGCTTCATCAGGTATATTTAAATTGCTTTTAAAAAGGAATCAAGACTGTATGCACATTTATATTTGATTTCAAAGACAAATGTGCTTTTGCTTACACTTACATTTGATTACAAAGAATTACATTTGGGGGCTCTTACAACCAATTTTTAATTCCCAACTTTGCCATTTTCAGACAAAAACAGGAACCGGAAAGAAGTGGCTGGGCAGGCTGTCTGTGGTGTGACGCACGCTGCTGGCCCAGACAGCTGTAGTCGATGTTGTCTTGGTTCTCATGAAATGAAGTCTTCTAACGTTGGATCAAACAACCTTGATTGTTCAAAGTGGCAGTAAGTGTTAGAATAAACCACAACTAAATCCGTTGGCAGTAACGTAACTCCACCCAAAGGTGGGTTCTAACATACTACAAGTGAACACTACAGTTGCATGTATTGCATACCTCTTTGGTACAGAAGTTAGACTATTTTTGTGTAAGTTGTTTACACACACATGAGAAAAAAATGTGTCATTTGAACATATATCTGGTTATGAACTTAGGGATAATGCAAGGCAAATTTTAGTTGTTAAAGTTTCCTTCCTCATCATCCATCAGAAACATCAACAGCAGCACGTGGAGAAAATGCATGTTAGTATTAAGTTTTAATTGTTGACATTAGCCTAAAAAGGGGCAAAACTATAGGATATCCTTCCTAGGAGAGAGAGCAGAGCAGGAAAGCAGAAAATACACTGTAATCTATACATAATTTTAGATTATCTGTGAAACTACATTTAGATTGTCATTATACATAATGCTAGTAGAAGGTTGACTATATTTAATACAAAGTCACCCTATGAAAATACCTTCCCAAACTAAATCAACCTTACTTTGCCACCCACCTTGTATTTCAAGACTAGAAATCACAAGCTGTTGCCATCGACTTTTTGGGATTCATGGAATCCCAAACTATAAGAAAATGTACCCCCAAAATAAACTGGCTCAATTTCATAATGAGCATCTTCTACGGCAGTCTCACGTTTGGTTGGAGTTTAGAGTATCTAACTGTATGAGGAAATAAGGTTGGGAAAGATGGGAAAGGGTAGGTTATGGAGAGCCTTGGATGAAGCATTTAACATTCTTGGTTTGTTAGGCACTCGATGTCACCTTTATGACTGCATTTCCCTTTGCTTTGTTACTATTAGGCCTGTGTTCAATTGACATATTTATTACCCTGTAATTAATTATTACTCATGGAACTATCTCTCCTTCCCAGATTATAAACAATTGGAAGAGCAGGGGAAACTTCTTTATTCTAAAATATTTTATTCTAGAGCCTAGCATAGTAATTGGTGATCAGAAAGAGCTGAACAAAGGCCAAAAGAAAGAAATGAAAGGAAGAATGCATGCATGTGTGGACACATATGGTATGTGTATACCAGGCTATGAAAAGTGGCATTAAAACAAAGAGATGCTTTTAGACAAAATTGTCAGGATTGTACTCTGGACTCTCCCATGAATCTTTTTTATTTTTCTTCATGAAATTAGGTTGACATTTATTATGGCACTGCCTTATATATCTCTCCCTACCTTTAGGCCTGACCCCTATAGCAATGTGGACCATGAGAACCAATACTGAAGCATAGTACAGGGGTCAAAGGTGGCTCAGGGTGTAGTCATTTGAGATCAAATGGCAAGAAGAAGAGGGCAGAAACTCTGCGAGGAGGAATACTGAGGCTCACAAGTGAACGGCCCAAATTCACTGTGAGGTGTTTGAGGCAAGTTCTGGGCTAGAAATGGGAGCAGAAGGCAGAGTTTGTATTCTAGGTCAATACAATGAGGTAATAATAATTGGGGAACACAAGGGAGAATATGTTTTAGAATTTGTGACTGATGAGGGCTGCTTTCAAGAAGTTGCTCCATTTTGAGTGCCCCTTGGGTAAAAGGCAGGACCCAGTCAGGGTACAGAGGCACTCCCTCAGCTTGGTTTCTGCAGTCTTCTACAGTCTCATCTTTGTCTAAATGTTCTATTCAATGATGCATGCTTCATTCATTTATTAAAGAAACATGTTTCATTGCCTATGGTGAACCAGGCACTAAACGAATGTGGTAAGGGGAGAAAACACAAGTGTAAATGAGTCAAGTCCTGGCACTCAAGGAGCTCCCAGTCCAAAAGGAAAAACAGACATATAAATAAATAAAGAGTATGGACGTGATCTGGGGAAGTGTGTCCAGGTGCTACAGGAGTTCAGAGGAAATGCCTGAGTCTACTGGGGAAGGTGGTGGTTGATATGGGAAGGTCTTAAGGGAAAATTCGATAAAACTGAGACTGGAAGGTTGGAGTAGAAGTATAGCAAGCAAATAAGAAGGACAGGGGGGATTGAAGCAGGAAGAAAGATTAACTAACTAAAAAGTGGCACATTAAAATCTAAGTTACATGAAAATGCAGGATATATTCAGAATTTAGGTAGTCCAGGTAAAATGGGAAAAAGGCATGGGATATATGGCTGACATTGTAACTAATGGCCTAAACTTGATATCCCGTGCTGAGGCAGTTCAGGATAAGTGAGGATAGAAGTCCATATGGGCCTGTGCCCTTGTGTGAAGCCCAGCGGGCACCTTCCTCAGTGGGTCCTTTTCACTTACACCTTCATGCATCAGCACCTAACTCTTTTGCAGGATAAGTGACCGTACAGCATATGAGCAGATCACCAGATGACTACAAGTTTCTGGTACCCAGCATGGCCCAGGAAAGAGAACAGAAGCCCCATATTCCTGATGTAGCTTCCCCAGTCTCCAACCAATCAGCACCAACAGCCCAAGAAGCTATTAGCTACAAATTCTTGCCTGGAGGTTGAAGGGCAGGGACTTCTCCAGAATCCCGCATATGCAGCTAGTTTCAAGTTTTAGCTTATATTGATAGTAATCTTTTCCTCATTTTGATAGTAAAAAAGACAACCCTAGGTGGAGATTTGCTAATGTTACATGTGATGCCTGTTAAAGCATGTAGATACTGAGCACATGTGCCAGATGCAGGTCTTCCTTTACATACCTGACCTCACCCATATTTTATGAGTATGTATGTACTTCTCCCATAAGAGAAATCCTCCTAACGCACTAACTGCTATCTCTTCCTTGGAGCAGCCCATTCTGCCTCTCAAAGTGCTTTGCAATAAACTTCTTTGCTTTGCAATAAACTTCTTTGGTTACTCTTACTTTAGACTCATTCCGAAATTATTTTGTGAAGCAAAAACAAGAACCTGAACTGGCTTACTGGTAACAATGGGATCTACTAAAATTAAGCTAAACTGCAAGATAAGTTGGGTGGTGAAAAATACAGACACCATGAATTTGAACCAAGATGCTGGCAAAAGGGAAGGGAGGAAGGCACACATTCAGAAAGCAAGATGGAGGAAGAATTAACAGAATGTAGTGGTATGACTGCATGTGTAGGGTGAAATATAGAATGGTCGTCTATGAATCCTGAGTTTCTGGATTGTGTGACCAGATTGGATAGTGGTACATTTATCAATATTGGGAAAACAGGAGAAGTAGCAGGTGTGGAAGAGATGAGTTCAGTTTTATACATGTTGAGTTTGAGCTCAAACTCAGAATGCCCCAAATTAAATGCATGCACGTGGGAAACCACGTGAAGAGGCTAGTTAGGTAACTGAAAATACAGCTGGATCATGACCTGAATGCAACACTCCTCTCTAGTTCTGCAAAGAGTGTGGATGGCAGTCTTACCTTTTGATTTCGACAAGGCTGTTTCGCACATGGCTTATTCACAAAGGTTCATCATATATTAATATTTCACTCTTCAATGACAATACTCACTTTTATTTCTTGTTTAATGCCTAATTCAAAGTAAGGGTTTTGACTAAAGTAAGAGTAAAGTCCCTTGTGATGTTGTGAGCTGTATGCTTGGGTAAAACCCATGCCATTAACAAAATTCAAAATTATTTTTAAAAGATCAAAACATATGTTTCTGTTTTTCCCTATGTAAAAGACCCTTCACCAGTTTATTTTTGGGGAATTAACTGTGTAGTCCTAAAGTGAGAATTAAGACTTGGGCAGCCCAGCACATGAGTGAGGTTAAGTCAGATGATTCTCATGGCATTTCGTATGTATGAGTAATGCCAGCACTGGAGGACTCGCAGCAGTGGTGGTGGCACCTGAGCAGGCCACCCAGCGAGGAGGCAGTAACTCCAGTGCTACTTCATGCTTTTTGGCTCTGGTAACCTTTTGGTTCCTGCCTATTTCCAAGCCATTCATGCTCCAGTCTCCTCTAAGTTCTGTGACCCTGAAACCTTCTCAAGTAATTCCCTTTACTTCAATTAACCAGTTAGTTTCTGCCATGCTTGATAAGAAGCCTAGCTGAACATCAGAATAAAGTCATTCAATCAATAAGAAAATACTGTTTATTTCCTAAGTAAATCTACAGTTGAAATAAAGTAATAATTGCTGCTAAACCCATGGAATGTAGCCCAGAATCAGAATAAGATCTCAACAGTGAGTTTTTAAAAAAAGATAATTTTATTAGCTTATCTTTAATTCACAGCAAGACACATTGCTTCCTGTCTGGTTTATACTCTTTACAGTGAATCAGGCATAGGTAGGATGTTTCTAGTAAAACATGTTAAGCTGATTGATGAGTAATTTTAGTAGTGTTTTTTAAATTTTGTTTTAAATTATAAAAGATTTATTTTTCTTCAGGTGAGTATCTGAATAGGAAAGGGATAACACTCATAAATTCAGTGAACATTTATTGAGTGGTTATTGCATCAGAAATAATGTGCTAGATGTTGAAAAGGTGTTCTCATTCATCATTTTACATTTTAAAGTGTTTAGCATATTGATGCCTGTATATTACATTTCTGTCTTCATGGAACTTATGTTTTAGTGGGGAAGATGGGAAAAAAGATAAAAATAATAATAGTAAGTTGTAGTCCACACTATGAAGGACACAGGCTGAGACAGCGACTAACAGTGGGACCTATCCTGGATATAGTGCTCAGGAAAGGCCTCCCCAGGTACAGGACTAATATGCTGAGACTTGGAGGATGAGAAGAGGCTGCTGTACAAAGAATGTGAAGAAGCTGATTCTGGTTTCACTGATTATAGGTTGTGAGACCTTGGACAACTTATGTAACCTCCCTGTGCCTTTGTTTCCTCATCTGTGAAATGTGGTGAGCAGTATTACCTATTTCATACAACTGTTCTAAAGATAAAATGTGTTAATGTTTGTAGGGTACTTCCAACAGTACATGGCACATAGCATGAGCAAAACAAATACGAGTTATTATTATAATATTATTTTTATTATTCACAAAAAGGGACCAGCGTGTGCAAAAGCCTGAAGCAGGAAAGGTCTTTGGTGTGTTAATTAAACTGAAATAAGATTAACACAGCTGGAGCAGAAGAGCAAAGAGGCAGTGGCACAGAGGAGGCGAGAAACATAGGATCAGATCATGCCCGGCCTTGTGGTTCAGAGTAAAGAGCTGAGACTTTTTAACTAAGTTAAATGGGAACCCATTAAAGAATTTCAGCAGGAGAGGAATGTTATTGAACTTATGTCTTAAGATGATCACTTCATGTGCTGTGGGGAAATTGAGGGAGCAGGACCAGAAATGGAGTGACCAGTTAGAATACTTAGAATGGTGTTATATAGTAGTGAGGATGAAAGATGATGGAGGCCTGAACTAAGTTGGGAACAAAGAATAAAAGAGAGTGGTTTCAAGATATATTTTGGAGATAAGGCTGGCAGTATCTGTGAATTAATTGCATTTGGGGAAAAGAGGAAGATCAAGGCAGAGCATCCATGTACAATTGTGCAGGATGTTCACTGCATAAGAGCACTTAACTGAGAAAGGCAAATAGGAGCTGAAATCCAACTCACACTTGGTTCTCCAAGTCATGTCCCCTGGCATGGGGCTACCCCCAATTACAAGGAGGACCTTTTTCTAATTTGTACAAAGGCAGTACATAGGCTAGAAGCAGTATGAACCTTTAATCCTGGCTTGGGTAACTGGGTAAATGGTGTTGCCACTAACAGAAATGGAAACGTTGGGATGAAGGGGAGAGAGGTTTGTGATGAAAAAAAAAAAAAAAAAAAAACACAAATGATTGGGTCCTCGTTAAATTTTGAGACGACTCTGAGATACCTAAGTTCAGATTTAAGATTGGCAGTTGTTTCCTTAATACTGACCTTCTAGTCACCGGTCTTGCTATTTCTAATAATTTATCTGTAGATGCTTTTGAATTTTCATTCAACACAATCATATTCACCAATAATGACAATTTTATTTATTCCTTTCCAATCTGTGTATTTTTTTCACCCTATTGCACTTGCTGAGGCCTCTAGAACAAGGCTGAACATAAGTGTGATAGCCATTATCCTTGCCTTCCTCTAGATATTGATAAAGCTTTTGGCATATCTCCATTAGGTATTATATTTGCTAATTGTTTCTCTGTAGAGACCCTTATCAGATTAATTAAGTTCCTTTATATTCCTAGTTACAATTTTTCCGTTTATCAAAAAAATGATGTTATATTTTATCAAATGCTTTTCCTGCATCATTGAGATAATAACATGTTTCACTCATAATTTTCTCTTCTCATAGTATCCTTCAATTTTGGTGACAAGGTTATGCTGGTCTTCTGAAACAGAAAGAAAGTTGCTTACTTTCTATTTTATGGAAGAGCTTGTGTTACAGCAGATCCTAATCTATCAGAATAAATTCTAATCGAAGAGTCATCTTTTCTTCAAATTTTTGATACGATTCACTGATAAAGTTATCTGGACCTGGACTTTTCTTTGTGGAAAGGATTTTGAACATGAATTCACTTTCTGTAATAGTTATTAGAATGGTTACTATTCATGCTTTTGTCTTTTTCTTTGCCTTAGTATATTATGTTTTCCTAGGAACTGGTCCATTTGAAATTTCATCTAAGTTTTCCAATTTATTGACAAAGTTGTTTATGATAATATAATGAAAGTATTCTCTTATTAGCTCTTTCAAGTCTGCTTCTGTTATTTGTATTTTTTCTCTTTTTTTTTCCTTGGTCAATCTAGTCAGTGAGTTAACAATTTGGCCAATTACTACAAAGAACTGACTTTGGCAAGTCAGCTTGGAGCTTGTTTCTGGATTGATAAAAATATTCTGAAACTAAATAGTGATGATGGTTGTGTAACTCTGTGAATATACTAAAAACCACTGAATTATACATGTTAAAAGGATGAATTTTATGTATGTGACTAAAACTGTTACTTAAATTTGTATCTATCAACAATGTAACACTGTAACCTACATAGGTAGCCGTAAAGTTTATAATATTTGCCTACATCAAGTCTTTTAGTAACATTGCTTGCCTTTACTTTTGTACATCATAATGTTCTTTATATTACACAGTTCAAACAAATTAACCACATCAATAATATTGCTGAGCAGGCTAGAATAATTAATATGTGACTTATTTAAAAGCTTTAAATTTTGAATAATAACTGTTAGTAGTCTCCAGAGAATACTGCTACATGTTCTATCCATAGACAGCACACTGATCTAAGGAAAGTAGGTCACAGAACACAATTCGATTCAAACTTGGCACTAGATAACCCAATGTTTCTTTCTTCACATAATCATGATGTCCTAATCAGTCTGTGGTTTTGACCTTTGAGTCAGTGGGTAGTCTATTATTACTTAGTGGCTGCTAAATCCAGAGTCAACATTTTGGAAGCTAAAGAATGCCCATCTTCTTTCAAAATCTTTTGGCTTACTAAAAGCTGAGCCCAGCTAAAAGCTTTTGCCAACATTTAGTTACTTCATGCATATGAACTAAACAACAAGCAGGATACAATTAGCGGAGAATGAAAAAAATAGAATATATTTATTTTCTAACATATTAAACATTAAAATACATTAAATGTACTAAATATATTTAAAGATAAATTATACTATGAAGCATGTTACAGTCTTTAGAAAGTATAGACCAGATTTTCCTGTTTCTCAAAGCATGCTATTCTTTCATTTTTTCCTGTAGATACTAAACCAAAAATTTTAACTCAAATTAGAAAATAGCAAATTAAAAAAATTCAAGTGACAGAATGTGTTCTATTTACGGACTATCAATAAGACATGTTCCTTAAAAATTAGCTATGATTTTAATTTAATAACTTTTGAAAAGCATGTTCTTTGCTTGTAAAAATAATGTTAGGCATCGTTTTCTCTATATATAGAGCAATTATTTTTTTATATTAGCAATATATAAAGTGTCCAAGCTATTATTTAATAGATTATCAGTTTTTCTAGGATTTTCTCACCTTTCTATCACAAAGTTTCTTTCACAACAAATTCTAGAAATAAAACAAATACTAGAAACAAACAAAAAAACCTCTAGAAATATACCAAGAGACACGCTAGAGGAACATATAAGAACCTTTGTTAAGGCCGGGCACTGTGGCTCATGCCTGTAACCCCAGCATTTTGGGAGGTCAAGGCAGGTAGATCACCTGAGGTGTTGAGCTGAGACCAGCCTGGCCAACATGGTGAAACCCCATCTCTACTAAAAATTCAAAAAATAAATTAGCCAGTGTGGTGGCACTCGCCTGTAATCCTAGCTACTCGGGAGGCTGAGGCACGAGAATTGTTTGAATCCAGGAAGCGGAGGTTGCAGTGGACCAAGATCGTGCCACTGCACTCCAGCCTGGGTGACAGAGTGAGACTCTGTCAAAAACAACAACAACAACAACAACAACAACAAACAACAACAACAGACACCGTTGTTAAAAAAGGTGATTTGAAGTTTTGAGAATTCATTTAATGCTAAACTAGTGTAATTGCATCTTTACTGAAGAATAGATAGCTTTCCTGTAATGATTCATTTGATATAGATATAAATGCCTCTTTGGAAAACTAGATATACACCTCTAAAATGGTCCCCTAAGACTACAGAGTTCTTAGCAATTTAACACTCTCTGTCCTTGAGAATGAAAAAAATTAAGCACAGATGACTTGATTTATAGATGCATATCCACAAATGGAAACCTAAATGGCAAATGCAATTTTAGATTCAGTAATCCAGCTGCTTTAAATGACGTTTCTGTAAGAGGTTAAAATACTGTGAGGAAACATGTGTGAGATGTAGCTTATTAAATACTAATTATTGAACCTTACAGTATCTGTACCTTCATGCATTCAATGATACATAAAAAACTTTAAAATAATACCAGAAGAAAATTCATGTGACATATAACAGACAAAGGATTTATATATCTGTTTTATAAAGATTTACTATACATTAGTAAGGAATTATAAACAAATCCAATAGTTTCAATGGGTTTTGTATATAAATGGGCAATGTATCAAAGAAATACGAATACATAATAAATACATGAAATTGTGCTAAACTTCAATCAGCTAAGAAATAGAAATTAAAATATTTTTCTATAATCCGATTAGAAAAATTAAAAATACTGAAAACAACTGTTGAATATATGCTGGGTCTGAGGAAACAAACTCTATTATATTGTCGGTAGATATATAAATTTATACAAATTTTTGTAGGATAATTTAGTTTTTCCTGTTCAAATCTGAAAAGTATACATTCTGTGACCTACAAATCTCACTTCTAAGAATCTGTCCTGTAGGCACAGCTACATGATAATGTAAAAGTAAAATAGAGGATGTTCATTACAGCATTATTAGTAACTACAAAATATTAGAAACAACTTAAATATCTAATAAGTGATTGTGAAATGAATTAAGGTACAGACATAAACTGGAACACTATGGTAGCTATTAGATAGGGTTTCTGACATAATGGCAATGTTCTTCTTAACCTGAGTAATGGATGTGTGGATTCACTATATGGCTACATATATAATTGTATATATATTTTTACATGCTTCTCAATTTTCATCAGAACAAGGTGAAGTCTATATATATTAATCAAATAAGATGTATGTGATATGAAAAAAACACAACAGAAGATCATTATGCATGGCAAATCCCAATTTTACGAGAAAAAATATCCTGTGTATGCATATATATGAACACATAGCTGTGCTTACATGGCATATAAAAAACTAGGGGGAATATGTAGCAAACCTCTGGAAAATGGGATTATAAGGATGTTTATAAGAGGAATAGATAGTAGTATTGGAGAGATTTATACTTTTTATAAAACATATTCTTAGTCATATATATGAGACTAAAGAAGATATATATATATTTATATATATATATACATATATAACTTTTGTGTGTATATTTCAATTGACCAAAAAAAAGCCTGCCACTTTTGTCTTTATTGACTTTATTTTAGTTTTTGTACACAAAAAAAAATCATGTTCATATCCATCATGAACAAAAACTGTAAAAGGCAGAACTAGAAGACATGTGTCCTTCACCAAAGCAAATCTGTGCTAAAGGTTCCAAACATTTCAATCTTTAAAATAAATATTTTCATTTTCTGATGTCTAATTTCATGTCTTCAGAGTGTCACAGGAAATCGACGCCTATCTTGAATTACAATTTTTTTTTTTAGAGTCCCAGCTCACTGTGTTTGGTAACTTGCCATACCATATCCAGTTTGGTTAGGAGGAGGTATTACAGGGGGAAGAGCTTGTCCTTGGGGAGGCTGAGCTCCAAATCCACCCATTCAAGCAGCAGAAGGTGATTGATCTACTCCAAATCCTTGTTGATTCCATGGTTGTCCGTACACTCCATAAGGTGGTACTTGCCACCCATTTGCCATATACTGTCCATACTGTTGGGGGTTTCCATACACTTGGCTCCACTGGCCCCACTGACTATAGTCGACCTATTGGAAGTTTTTAGTTATATCAGGAGATTCTTTACCCCAATAGCATTTAACCACGTGTCCTTCAATCATAGTACCGTTCACCGAAGCAATGGCACGGGCTGCACTTTCATGGGTTGAAAATCTGACAAATGAATAACCCTTTTCTGGGAAAACTCTTATTTCCATAATTTGTCCGAATGGTGAGAATGTTTGTCTCATAAGCTGATCTGTTAATCCAGACGAAATTCCTCCACAGTACACAATACAATTTTTTGGACTTGACTGGTTTACTACATCTTCAAATCTCAACTGCTTAGTGTTGTTTTCTTGTGTACTTTTAGGTGCCGGTGGTTTATGTGTGGCCCAATTGGTTCTGATTTGACGACCACCCAACCACTGACCTCCCATATGCACAATGGCATTTTCTGCACCCAGTTTATTATAAAAAGATACAAAACCATAGCCTTTGGATTTTCCAGTTGCCATGCCTTTAATTACCCAGGCATCCCATATTTTACCAAAAGGGGCAAATGCTGATTTGATATCTTCTGTTGTAATTTCTGGACTCAAATCCCCAACAAACACATGGAAGTGATTGGAAGTATCTTTTTTCTGGCTACTTGCTGTGGTTGCCCAGTTTACTTTGACCTCCTTTCCCAAAATTTTTCTCCCATTCATAGGAGCTAATGCAGCAGCTGCATCTCTGTGTTCATAAAATTCCACAAAGCAATCTGGGTCATTGCTTGTATGCTCTGTTATCATTTTACAGCTTTTATAGGGTCCAATCTGACTGAATAACTGAAGTATAAGGACTTCTGTCACATCTCTGGACAGAATAGTTTAAGACACTGTGGTTATATCTTACCTATGTTTCTTGCATCACAGTTAGAGAAATAAAACTACTTTATCAACAACAGTAAATCCATTTCTTATATTATATTTTAGATTATAAATCTGAATATGACAAAAAATCACAATACATTGAAAATTTTCCCCAAATAATAATATAGGCAGAAACTTCTTCCGTGCTAATTAAGTTCCAGGACTGACTTTAAATACATTATAGGTATTAATATATTACGACCAATTACTGTAATCATTCCTGTTTTACAGATGAAGAAAGTGAGACACAGGTTAAGTAACTTGACAAAGGTCACACAGCTTGCAAGTGGTGGGGTCAAGGTTCAAACTTAGGCACTCTGATTCTAATATTTCCACCATGCCTTGTTGTTTCTCAAAGAACTCCAACTAAAACCTAATATTAATTATTGAATGATGTTATAACATGAAAATATATTTTTTTACCTTCAAAAGGCACATAAAAACATTTCAGAAAAATATAGAACACTGTAAAATGTAAAATGTGTTTATTGTAAAACTTTAGTTATTGCTTCCCTTTCTGTAACACAACAATTTTTATGCTTTGATACTACAGTGGATTACGCTGAATGTTATACCTGTCGAAACAAAGTTCTTTTTTTGAAGGAAATAGTGTGTAAGTTTGAGAAACTGATCATTATTAACTGTTTCTTATTTACTTAAGTAGACTAATATGAACTGAGCCTACAGTAATGTTTATACATTCCAATGCAAAAGAACTGCAGAGCAAGCTAAGTCTTGAATAATTTGTTAAGACTTATTCTGCATTACTAGATAAAGCTTTAAGAGTAAATGAGACTATGCAATCTTTTTTTTCAGTAAATTAAAACTCAGTTTAGAAGATGAAGGGCATTTTTTTTAATTATAGAGAATAATAACAACATTGTGTATAAGAAAGTATCAGAATAAATGTCATAAGTTATATGAAATATATAAAGAACAGTTCAGAGATAGAAACTGTTGGGATATGAAATACTTACAGGAGTTTATGCCTAATATGGAAATGAACTTGGACCTACAAGAGAGCGAAAGAATTGAGAAGTCATAAAAGAGAGTACCTTACTTTTTAAGAAAAAAAGAGCATATAATTATAATATATTTTACCTACACTCTTAGTACTGCTGAAAAATTACTATTAATATTGAAGTATATTTTGAAAAAATATCTTACAGTATTCAGCAGGAAGTTCTTTTTAAGCTAATCATGTTATAAAGTTTGAAAAAGCTGTATTTTTCTTTAATTCAAGCCAATTGAATAACAAGAATCCCTTTCTTTGTAATTCTTTTATGCAGTATTTACCCAGTACTGTTTCTCTAAATTTAGTTATACTTACCTGTCCAAGCAAATGTATAGATCAGTTGATTTTTAGTTAGTATACATGTGTTTTACGAATAAGAAGTAAAGAGGTTATCGACTAATCAAAGTCAATCTAGTAACTTCCAGAACTTCTAACTTGCATTTCAAAGCTTCACCATACTGAGAATATTATGGCAAGGGAATATGAAAGTGGAAACTCTAAGAATCAGGATCCTTAAATGAATAGTGGGATGTAGAGAAGAGAGAGGAGACTACTGTGAGTTGCATCTTCCAACTCCCACAAATACAAATGTTTATACCAAGAAAACTCATGTGAATAAAATGCTTTCTGCTGTCAAAGGGAAAAAGGAAGTTGCCTAAGAATTGATTATTAAGGAAAGTTTCAAGACAGAGGCAAATTTAATGATAGAATGGCTCAGAAGTGGCTAAGAATATTTCATTTTTAAAAAATAGTAAAGAAACTAATTTTATTATCCTTAATAAACTCCCTAGGCTTTATCTATGTCTACCCAGAAACTTCCTATAAATACTTAAGTTTATAGAGATTGTCAAAAGAACTCCCACTCTTCCCACTACCTAAAGGAGAAAGAGTAGGTGTATGTCCGTCATACTGAGGGGATGAGAGGGCAGGACGGGGGTGGGAGGTAGGTATTAGTGCCAAGGGACTGAGAACTTGTCCCAAAATAAATGCCTGGAAAAAATCCAAACTTTCAGTCATCAATATTCAGTCCCTTTGCTACACAAGCAAAAAGGAATAAAATACACAAGAAAAGCAGATAAATTAAAAGAGAATCTATCAGAGACCCACTAAAAACGGTTTCTTTTTAAAGTCAGTTGAAGAAGAAGTCAAGATCAGTTCATTACATATCCGATTATCCTTCTGATGATCTCAGGCTACAGTAAAAGCAATAGAGAGCAATAACCTTAAATGCTCATATAGGAAGTGGAGGAAAATATTGTTTATTAAGGTTGTTCATATTTGGGTTCCTCAGGAAACTGAATAATACTGAAATTTGAATGCACTGGAGCATGAACGCAAATGCAAACTGCATACTAAAAATTTCAGCTTGACCTAGCTAGAGCACTCAAAGCAGCCATTGGGATTTTTCTGCATGTGGATTTTTCAATCAGGCTTTATTATTTTAGACTGCTCGATTTTTTGAAGGATGGAAATAATATATTATTTGTTGCCTGTGTCAACAGTATCAGTAACAATTAAAAGGTCTGTTTCCTTGAACTCAGGGAGTGTTTTAAGTTAGATATATTTTTTGTCTTCTTTTCCTTTTGAAATCTCCTCCTTCCCAGATGCGACCATCTCCCTGATTCTCATGCTCTTCTCTTAATTTTACAGATTTAAGTGTGAAAAAGACAGTCTGTAGTCTACAATGGGGGATGGAAATTGGTGAATAAAATATTAAATAATACACTTTATGATGGGTGAGCCTTTAAAAACTGGTGAAGAATATGACACAAATCACAAAAGTCTGGACACCAGGAAGCCAGTGCATTGTCCAGTTTTGTTACCTCGTACAGATGACACTTTCTGGGCCTCAGTTTTGTCATTTAAGGGTGGTTGTGAGTAACTAGATGAGATTATATCTTGAAAAAATACAGAACTATATACAAAAGGCTGACGCTGACTCTGTATTCTAATTTATTACTCATTAGTTAGCATGCAAAACAGTTTCTCATGAAGAACATTAGATGCAGAATCTGAAGGGAAACTTCTCTGGCCTTTATTTTCTTTATCTAAATAAGGGATAATGCTACATATGATTTTTTTAGTACAGTGTTACTGGTAGAGGCCAGTTATTTGCAGCAAGCAGCAGGTTTGCAGGGATTTTTCTGTGAATTTCAAATTCAGTATCTGTATTAGTTAAGATTAGATTTTGCAGCAAGTAACAGAAAATCCTCTCAAATGATAAAGAACATGGAGGTTTATCTTTGTCTCATAGGGATGTCTAGGAAGTAGCTCATGGCAGGCATGATACCCCATGCTGTCAGGCACTCGGACTCCATTCATCTTGATGTTCTTTCCTGAAGGCTTCAACCTTGCAGTCTCACATGGCAGCATCACATTCCAGAGGAGCAGAACAGGGAAAGGGTCAGAAGATGGGGGAACACACCTCACTCTCTCCTGCTATTGACTGTGCCTGGCTGCAAGCTAGACATGCTGTGCCCATTGCAAATGGCTACAAATCTAAGGCCCTACCAGTATGGGAACAGCCACTGGGAGATAACTAGCAGCTTTTACCATTTGTCATTTAATTATTTTAAGGTTAGAAACTTTTTCTTTCTGAATGTCTGAAAGAGAATGGCATGAGAAATATGTTGGAAAAGTTAAAGCTGCTTTGTGACTGTTTATCACTGTCTTTTTAATTTTGAAAAAGTAAGTGCTAAGGCTTCCAGTTTCCAATTTCATATGTAAGGAGCTGGGAAGTTGCCACTCTGTTCTAACAAGTAAGAGTTGAGCAAACTGAAAAATCAACAACTCTTTTTGGATCCATAAGAGAAGTGAGGTCACAGGGCAAACTATTGCCCCCAAAATTAGCAAGATGGACAGGTAGATACAGAGAATCACAACATACTGGAGAAGAAATCTCCATGGGAGCCACTCCTGGGGTAGGAAAACCTAAACAGTAATGGATGAACTGCTGGAGGCCATGTGTAGACAGGTCTGAGAGATAAAAACTCTGGAAGACCTAGTCATAAGGGGGCCGACCACCATGCTTTTCTAAGTTTTACCATCAGCAGCATGACCAGATTATCAAACTAACTACTGAAGAAAATTACACTGTGCTTCTGGCAGTAGGAGGGAAAAAAAATCATTCTGATACATGCCAGAGTGCTCTGTTCTTAACAAGGTCTGTTCTTAAAAAAAACTGTTTAACCAGAGCCTAACCTGTTGGGGTTTTATCAGAGCCTAACTAACCTAAGGGAATTGAAATAACCAACCCCAGCCTACTCTATCTGTCCTATTCCACTGAGAAAGGGAAGGACTAAGAAACAATTGTGATGTTCAGAGTGTAGAGGAATAGGCTCGCTAAACAATGGAGACCTAAACATAGGACTACAGGTTTCCCTCTCCCAATACCTTATCACCATATTAGTAAAGGCCTATTTACAGCAGTTCCTTTTACCCAGTATACCAGGTTCAGCTATCAAGAAAAAATTACAAGGCATACTGTTTCAGCCCATTCTGTATTGCTATAACAGAATACTTGAGACTAGATAATTTACAATGAATAGGTATTTATTCAGCTCACAGTTTTAGGGGCTGGGAAGTCCAAGGTTGATGGGCCAAATATGACAAAGGCCTTCTTGCTGTATCTGCCCATGGAAGAATGGCAGAAATGCAAAACAGCATGCAGGAGTGGGAAGGGGGCCCACCTCATCCTTTTATCAGAAACCCACTCCTGCAATAACAGCATTAATTCACTCGTGAGGGCAGAGCCCTCATAACCTAATCACTTCATAAAGCTCCCAACTCTCAATACTGCTGCAGTGAGGATTCTTTTGTTTTAAAGCACCTGAGACTGGGTGCTTTAAAAGAAAAAGAGGTTGATTTGGCTCATGGTTCTGTAGGCTGAGAAGTTTAAGGGCTTGGCCCTGGCTCTGGTGAGGGCTTTCATGCTGTATCACAACATGGCAGAGAAGGCCAAAGGAGAAATGAACATGTACAAAAAGAATAAACCTGAGGGGCGTCCGGGCTTTACAATGACCCACTCTCTCAGGAACTAACTCCATTCCCATGACAACTCACGACCATGAGAGCAGCATCATGTCATTTCTGAGGAATCCATCTCCATAACCCAACTACCTCCCACTAAGCCCTACTTTCCAACATTATTACACTTGGGGTCAAATTTCAACATAAGCTTTGGTGGGGACTAACAAATCATATCTAAGTTATAGCAAGGATTAAGTTTCCAACACATGAACCTTGGGGAACACATTCAAAGCATAGCACATACTAAAAGGCTAAAGCAAAGTTTGAAGAGACAGCAACTATCAGAGCTTGGAAATTGCCACTCTGTTCTAACAAGTAAAAGACACACACGGCAGGGATGTTAGAATTATCAGACAAATAATTTAAAACAACTGTGATTCACACCAGGGCCTGTTGGGGGGTTTGGGGCTTAGAGGAGGGATAGCATTAGGAGAAATACCTAATGCAGATGACCAGTTGATGAGTACAGCAAACCACCATTGTGTGTACCTGTACATTCTGCACATGTATCCAAGAACTTAAAGCATAATAAAAAAAAGAAAAAAGAAAAAAATCCTGTGACTAAGATGCTAAGGACTCTAAGGGATAAATTACACATGCCAGAGCAGATGGGCAATGTAAGCAGAGAGATGGAAATTCAAAGAAATAGCCAAAAAGAAATGCTAGGATAAAAAATAAGAGAAATTAAGAATACCTTTGATAAGTTTATTAGTAGATTGGACATGGTTGAGGCAAGAATCTCTGAACCTGAGGATATATCAAGAGAAATCTCCAAAACTAGAAAGAAAGGAGAACAGACTAAAAAAAAAAATTAAAGCAAAACGGAATATCTAAGAGCTGTGGAACAATTAAAAAGAGAGAAGATATGTATAATAAAAATACAAGAAGAAGAAAGAATAGACAAAGCTGCTATATACTGAATGTTGATATCTCCCCAAAATTCATATGTTGAAAGCTAATTGCCAGTG